CATTAAGCCTCAAACATTCTAACATAATGTGATAAATCCAACCCAAAAGAGTTTCTAGAAATGCAACATTCTTAAATGAGATTGGAGGAAACTAAGAACATTCTAAAACAAAAACAGATGAATAACAGGAACAGTTGTGGCAGCAGAATAAGAACCAATGAAAGATTAATTTTATGGAATCCCATTTTCCTTTTGAGAGCAACTGATAGGACTTTAAAGAAAGCCCCTACCAACCTACCTAGCTACCTAGCTAACACGTCCTTTTAATCCACAGCAACATACCATTATTTAACCAAACTAGATCCTACTTCTTGAATCTTCTTCTCTTAATATCAATATTAAAATATACACTGCTTTATTCTATACCCTCTCTATATACAATAAATAAAACATGAAGTGTGCCAACAAATAGTGCAAAAATATTCAAATACAAACTCCTTATAGCCGTGTTCAAACATGCTTCGTTTTTTCCTTACCATAAATATGAAATTCGCAAATTTTATATCTATTTTATACGAACCCCTCTTAACGAAATTTTAAATCCACTATATACCAACAATTTAATCAATTGGTTAAGAATTATACCTAAATTATTGTTATTAATATTGTATTGTATGGCTAAATGCATAGCTAGATCGAGCAAAAAGAGTCGTGGGTCAATTGGTTACGTATGTCTGAATCCATGAATGTGAACAACATGAATGTGAACAACACAAGACAAGGGTCGTTTGGCCAGACATGATTAAGGACCGAACGGACAATTTCATCATCAAAACATTTTTTTTAAACCAAAATTATGGGTAAATGTTAATTAGTGTTTAATGGACCTAGATTGGGTCGTGATTAGAGTTTTGCTAATCTTAAATTTAAAAAGCTATAAATAGAGATAAAAGATAAGAGAGATGTGATTGCATTTCTTGTGAGTTTAAAACTTTGCTGTGACTACCGTACGAATTAATTACTAACTTAAATATCGAAATATCTTTAACAAATACATCCAAACAGTTAGAGCATTATCAAAAAAAAGTTAATAGAGTTATCCAAATAACTAAATAGTAAAATGGAAAAGTGTATTTTTTGGAATTACTCGACCTTAGCCCCGAAACAATTATTTTTATTATTAATCTCTTGATATTTATGTTAAGTTTTCGTGAATAGTAAAATAACACACTCTCGAGAATCGAGAGGACAAATCTGCAACAATCAATATCTTTGCAATGTCTACCGACCATGGATTCTATTTGTTTAGAGTTTTTTTTTTTCAAAAGTAATTAAATTTATTTCATTTTATACATGGTGGAATTAGTTTTAAAATTAAAATTAACTATTTCTGTCGTAGTACCATAGTTTCCTTATAATCGCAGGGAATCCCGAGAAAGAAACAACAAGTTGATACAGTAAAGTAAAATATATAAAACCTGAGAGAGAAACTACTGCACACCGAATATAAAACTCAACAACAAAGTAGCAGAAATCCCGTGGACACTATCCAACATAGTTCATGTTCAAACTTTACATCCGATGCCACATGATTGTCGTGTAATGAAATTGATGTCGCTCATGACCATACGTATCATCATAACCACCCATACGCTCATATACAATATTAGCGTATATATAGATATATACATATATATAAACAAGTACTTATATTATAAAGTTTTATGATATACTACTAATAATAATGAAACAACATGCATGTAGATTCCACGCAGCCAGCAAAACAGCTTGTCCTTGAGACTTTGCAATCTTATCCAAAGAAAATGATTTCTGAAATCTAATTCGAGAAAAATGGTCGAATCATGGAACAATGCATCATTCTTTTCCCCCAATCACATTAAAAATTCCAGTGCAAGCTCATAATAATCATATGGTGGTCCAGAACAAAACTCAATTTATAATACAAAGCATATAAAATCTGAGATTGTGGCAATATTTTAAGAGATATGTCAATATTAAATCATCTAATACATGTCGATATTCAATGGAACTCTAGATTTCTTCCACACCCACTTTGCATTTGGGTTATATAATAAAACTACAGACAAAACAACAAATGCTCATACAATTACCAATAAAAAATTCTATTCATTTTGATTTCAACTTATGAAGCAGCCCTGTAACCCTAGCAGCCTCATTGGATATGATATGAACATATAGCATATGGTCGGTACGTAAAAGTATACATGATTTTCATATGGGTCATAAGGGTTTATGTAATTACTCAATTTTTTTTCCTTTTTTTTTTCTCTCCTCGAGTTGTGTTGAGATATATAGTGCAATTATTGGCACGTTTCACCCTAATTTTTTAAAGGGAAAGAGAGAAGAAGAAAAAAAACTCTTTCTTTGGTTTCTTGCTAGCTACTATTTTGTAATATTTTAAAGAGTGAAAGCCATGCGATTAAATTTAATTAATCTTTTTATCTAGAAAATGTAAAGTGGGATTACTTTATGATCTATATTCTGGTGGTCCAATCCAATTGACTGCTACCAATGTACTGTAATGGTGGCATTTATAGAAATCTAAAGTAGCATTTTTACTAATTAAAGCAATTTGAAAAAAAAATTAACAATTCAATTAATTCAGCCTATTCTCCAAAACGACTTACCTTATTTAGAAAGGAATGAAATCTAGGTACCATTTTTTCCCAGTAAGCAATGTAGGAACCTATATAATGGAGTTTCTGGTTATAATTACCAGTTACTTGGACTCAACCGTGGGTATTTAAATACTAAAAGTTTATTATATATGTACAAAAAAATATCAGTTTTGATTGTAAAAAATACCTAGCTTCAAGAAAAATGTAAATAATTTGAACTTAAATGAAGTGATTATTTATTAGGGTGATATCGTATAAGTAATTCTCGATCGAGAAGAAAAAAAAGTAATAAGTAACTTTAAATTGGGATTTTAGTAGATGGTGTTCCCTCACCTCTCATTGTCAAAATTCAAAGGAATAAATGGAAAATTTATTGTGGCCGTCCTAGTTAATAGCACATGTAGAAGAAACCTTGGCCTTTGAATTATGACAAAGATGTTAGATTTTATAATCCTTATTTTCATTGCAAAAATTAAATCAGGACCATAGATGTTGCTGAGATTTTTGCTGATAACATTGGATGGTACCCCAAAATTTATTATAGTAGAAAAATATACTCATGCAAACGAAAAAAGGTCTATATAGAGTACACATATTCAGATTTCATAAATAAGATTTCAGATTCGAATTTTCTAAATATAAAATATATTACTCAATTATTTTTTTATAAACACTAATCACTATTAAACTTGATAAATGTTTTACATCAACAGCAAATTTCGTATAAATTGTATGTAGCTTACACTAAATAAAACTTGATAGTTTTCTGTTAAACAAAAAATTCACAATTATATGTAAAAGACAGAATACAGTTTTATGCGCATAATTTAAATTATATTTTTCAATTGATAAACAACATTTTATTAACATTTCTATTATAGTAATAATTTAAGTAATCGATTGATGTAATTGTTAGATTTCTTATATGTTATAGGGATTATGTAAGGAGGAGTTTATAGTCGCATTTTTTTTTCAATAAAATTCTATATCTCAGTTATTTTAAATCCATCTTCTTCCAATAAAAAAATAATTATAATTTTCTCATATTAAGATGCTCTTGTAATTTCTATGATATTGACTAATTTTAAACAACTTAAGTCGTTCTCGTCTTTTTTTTTTCACGGACCATTTTTTCACGGAAGGGAATAGGATCATTATTGCAATAAATTTAAATTATTGGTCCCACTAATAAATTATATTTGGCCCCACTATTAAATTATAATAAATTTTTAAAATTAAAGCATCATTTAATTACGATATTGAACTTTTTCAGGTTAATTAATTGTGATAAAGGAGAGGAATAAGCATTTAGAATCCTAGGGGGTGTAAAGTCATTGGGGAATATCTGGAAACATATTTAAGAAGAAAAACAGATATAGAGGATCTCTCAACAACCCCAGTATTCACTTGAACTTCAATTATAAAAATGAAAATCCTCTTTTAAAAGTACTTAGTATACAGATATATAATTTAATATTATCTTACACAAATTCTGAAGTTTTTTTTTAAGTATTTCAAAAAACTTATTCCTTTTATTGATTTTCTATTATTTCTTCTTGTTTCTTTCACTTCATCACTATTTATTAATTTATTCATATTTTCGAGCATATTTTATTTCTGATAGCAAATCATCTGTTAAATTGTTAAAATCTCTGTCAATTTTAAAGTAGGATTTTCTTAAAATATAATTTGTTGACGCTTAAACGATTTTATGTTAAAGTTACACTTAGTAAAGTTTACATAAAACACAAAGTTTCAGTCACATTAATTGACAAATAATAAATTTCTACAAAACTACTTAAATAAATCGATAACAAACCAAAGTACTACTAAGAAAATATTATTCAGAAAATTGAAAGCAAAGTTTCACCGAAAATAATAAGAGAAATTTTGACGACGGAGAAAATTAAGACACTTCAGACAAATAAAATATGAAAAAACTATATATATATATATATATATATATATATATATATATTATATCCAATCCTTAGATCAGAATATTATTTAATTCCTACACTCAATACTAATAATAGAGAAGCCAATTATACTATTCATCACTTTAATGACAGTAATTTAATAAATTATATATATTTTTTATTAGAAAAGTTAAATATGCATTTTTTTTATTTTCATTTGTAACTAGGTTAACCATTGTGTACAAAAGGGGCTGCAAAATATTATTATGAGCACGTAACAACTGATAGAGTTACAGAGCGCACGCGCGCACACAACGAAGCCGGAAAAGTCAAACTATAGCGTCAAACTTCGTAGCCTTTTCTTACTTACAAGCCATAATAATAATTATTTTCCTCCTAATACTCGTTTAAGTTTTCGTTAATTAAATCATTATCTTTTTACTACTTAACCTTACTTTCTTCTTTCTCTCTCTCTCATCATCTCTTCCAACTCTATCGTTTTCTCCTTTCTTTCTTTTATTTATTTATTTTTTAATTTTCTCGCAAATTTTCAAAGCTTCATGCTTGAGTATCTATATAAAGGCTCCACCCTTCTTTATCCTCTTCGTAATAAGCCAAAACCCTCTCTCTCTCTCTCTCTCTTTCTATCTGTTTCTCTCTCTTGATTTCTTTACCTCTTCAACCCAAACACACTAGTTAGATCAAAAGCTATCTTTGTAGTTGTTTTGGGTTCGAATCAATCAATCAATCAAAATTATTTGAAAGTGGGTGAGTCATCATGGAAGTGAAAGGAAGGGTAAGCAACTCCCCAAGCACCATAGTCCAAAGTGACGATGAGATGGACCTTCGAAGAGGTCCTTGGACCGTCGATGAAGACCTTGCTCTCATCAATTACATTGCCAATCACGGAGAAGGTCGATGGAATTCCCTTGCACGTTCTGCCGGTAACATAACATAACATAATAACTTTCTTTTTCTTTCTTAGATTTTTCATCCCAATATAATAAGAACTACTATACTAGTAGTGATGCACATATTTGATGATTGCAATTGTTGACGGTAATTAGTTCCACTATTTTCTTCAAGCACTGGCTCTCTCTATCTTCCACACCTATATGATTGTGAAAAGCTCTTAACCTCTCATCCCGTTTCGTCACCAATCAATTTGTTGGGTGGAAAAGCCAAAGTTTGCGGTTTTCTAATATATAAGTAGAAGGGCATGATGATATGGTAGTGGATTATTTTGGGTACGACTTTATAATGGCATATACTTGTTCGTGGTGGGGGCATAAAAATGAAATATGTAATTATAGGTTGTCGATACTTGCTTGGCCGCATCCCCATTTGCCAAAATTCAAAAAAGATGTGTGAATTGATACCACAACTAAAAAATCGCACACTCAAAATATAAAGTACCGTAAAGAAAAAACAAAATGCTCTTTCTTTATTTCCTTCGTTACTTCCTCAAGACTTTACCAATTCAAGCAATTTCTTGTATTGCAGGACTCAAACGAACTGGCAAGAGTTGCAGATTGAGATGGTTGAATTATCTCCGCCCTGATGTTCGTCGTGGCAACATCACTCTTGAAGAACAGCTTCTCATTCTCGAGCTCCATGGCCGCTGGGGAAACCGGTACGAAAACAAATCAAATATCTATAATTAACATAAATATCTTCTGCCTTTTCTCTATCTTTGCATTTACCATTTTTCGAAAGTCTGTACTCATGCAACCAAACGTTTGGCCACTTTTTAAGTTAAATTATATTTTCAGATTTTGATGATCATTTGCTTTTTTATATTCATTCATCAGATGGTCTAAAATTGCCCAATACTTGCCTGGAAGAACTGATAACGAGATCAAGAATTACTGGAGAACTCGTGTTCAAAAGCACGCCAAACAGCTCAAATGTGACGTGAATAGCAAGCAATTCAAGGATGCCATGCGCTACCTTTGGATGCCGAGGCTGGTGGAACGCATTCAAGCCGCCGCCGCCGCCACCACCGCTGCGGCCGCCGTCCGTTCTCCCACGGCTTCTGCCAGTGCTACTACAACCATCACCACCAACAACAATATAACATACAACTACGGCAGCAACAACAACCTTAACAACAGTTTTGAGGTGCACAGTGGGGACATGATGTTGAGTCCAGCAATTATGAACAACAACTTCGGTGGTTCACAAAGTTACACTCCGGAGAATAGTAGCACGGGTGCATCATCTGACTCGTTTGGGACTCAGGTTTCACCTGTCTCGGAGTTGGCTCAGGATTACTACAATAATGTCACAGTTAGTAACAGTAACAGTCACAATAACCCTAATCCTGATTACTACCAACAAGCACAAGATCAACTCAGTTTTTTGGATTGCATCACAAGCCCATCGGGGTTGTTCTCTCAGCAGCTGGATTTCCATTCCATGGAACCAAACACCCCATGGATTCAGAGTAATGGGGACACATCCAACGGTTTCTGGAACGTTGAAAACATGTTGCTGTTCCAACAACTCACTGACAACATATGAAACATTGGTCGGAGACGGGGAATTTACATAAGGGGTGAAAAAAAACAGAATGGGCAAGATCGTGAAATTTACAGAAGATAAAATCATATAAGTGTAGCTAGAAAAATGAGGAAGGAAATAGAATAAATTCATATGTAGGACACAGAGGTAGGATCCACGATGAACATAGATTTTAAACTAAGGATAATATTATAAGGGAAAAGGGAAGGAAAATGTGAATTACTTTACTTTGTACCAACTTTTTATTGTTCTTTTAGTTTTTCCTTAATTTAGAGGGGGTGTGGGAAATATTTGTAATTTGAGTTTTCTTTACAAGAGATTTCATTCTTTGAAATTATTAATCTTGTTCGGTTTTTATTTTATTTGATTCCGGCCATCTTAATACCCTAGCAAGGTAGCTAGCAAGAGCATCATGGATGCATGACAGTACAAGTAAATTAAATTATATGATAGCCTAAAGACGTGTGCATAAATGATTCCATAGCCGAACCCTTTTCTCATATGTGAAATCCCCATTATAAGTGTTATTTATTATATATAAGTAATAAGTAATCCCACTTGAAAAACCTTGTCCATGGGACCTGAACCAAAGCCCGCAAAGTGTTTCTAGATCGTTAGAAAAGAGGTGGAAAGCAAATGTAATATATTAAGAGGTGGTGTTGTATTATTGGCACCCAACGTTGAAGTTAGCCCTCGGAGACAAAACATAGAAAAGTTAAAACATAAGGCTCCATTATTAGGATGGTTAATGATCATAAAGGTTAAATTGCCACCTAAGTACGATTCCAACTCTCACGCCTTGTTGGATTTCGTACGAACACACCTCCACTGTGATCCAAAATCACCAACTTTCAGTCCAATCCATACAAACCAAGATGCCCTCAGGGGTTCTTTCGTAAAATCCTACACTGCACGTGCAGACTGTGAGTTGCAAAACGTGAAGGAATAGTAGAGAGAGAAACAAGATGGTCGTGGCGGCGCGGTATCTTTGTAGGCCGCGTGCCTACACCACAACCCTTCAATGTGGTCCCCAACAAAGCTCTTCAGAACTTGCCACCAGTTCCATTCTATTATATTAATATTATATTATATTCCCACTAAATCATAAAGTAAAGCCCAATTTTTATATAATAATGTAGAAATTTTTATTTTTTAGTTAACTTTGAATTCCTATCATTTTCCTCCAATATAAAATATTTTTCTAATAAAAAAATTTCTTCACTCATAAGACTTATGCTCAAGACTTTTCTTCAGAATTACGTGTGCCTACAATCCAAACTAATAACCACGTGCTTGTAAAGAAAATAATTATGTATACAATAATCATAAAATAGAATGTTTATTTCTTATATAATCAATGTTTTCGTAACGAATTGCAAAAAAAATGAATTTTTTTATAATTGGAACGTGACAAAAAGTATTATTCTTTTCCTATCGTCCAAAATAATAAACCGAGTCAAGGTGAATTAGCGGCGGCTAGTTCATTATATTAAGGTAATACTACATGGCTTAATTTATTCAAATACAGAAAAATGTGATTTAAATATTTGTTTATCTCGAGCAAATATGTTGAATATTGAGCGTTTATTGTTTATTTTACATTACATGAATTAATATTAAAATTTAGGAGTGAGAAAGGTATAAGAAACGTATTCGAGTGGTACAAAAAGAGGAAATACATAACTGGACTCCACATGAAAACAAAGAACAGTGCGAAGACTTTTTAGGCATTTATCGTGGAGCCACGTTTGCGTCGTTGCAATGTTATGTTTGTAGCTCACGATTCTAGCAGGAAGATGATGAGTTGGGAGTCAAAAAATGGGGCCCATAGAGGAACCACGTGTGCATCGAAGAAGCTTAGCAGAGCGGCTAGGAAGATATGGAAGTAAAGTTTGATTTCAGCATTAAGGTATCTGAAAATACTATGTATGATGTTATGCCCACACAACACAACATACATTCTTCCATCTGAACACTGTTGGAAAGACACTTCCCCACCGTTCCTTACAATGAACCTGCGCCCTTTAAACTTATCATTCAACCACACTCACCTGTCGCTTTCTTTTCCATTGCAACATAATAATACCACCTTTTTTATTTCTTTTTTAATTTCAGTTCTTTGTTTTCCTTTACAGTCATCAACCCTCCTAAGAATAAACCAACACTTCTTTTTATTAAAACCAACACCTTGCTTATCTTTAATTGATTCTTCGTTACCAGTAACCACGACTATTGGATTTTTAAAAATCATTGTTTTAAGAATTTGATACTTTTTATGTCAGAATTCAGCATATCAGTTTACGCAATCTACTCAAACAACTGAATTAGATTCCTTAATATTTTAAGAATTTCATGTCTATTTTTAATCATGTAAATCTAATCACGATCATTATTAATACTATTATATTAAAAATTATAAATATGTAAACTAACTAACTTATCCTATCAATAGTTTGTTATTATATCCTAATGTAAAACTACTTTATACTGTTAATTCGTAACTTTCTCTATTTAATCTAAATCACAATTCTCTTACAAGAAATCATATTTTATCAAGATAAAGACTGTTAGGAGTGTCTGAGGAGACTTTTTCAATATATTACGAAAATTGTACTATATATTAAAATTTAAAATTCAAAGTAACAAAATGAACCTAAACATTCACATGTAAGTTGATCATAACATTTAATGAAATAGAATCAATAGGTGCGAACCGAATGGCACTCTACTTTTGTATAGAGAACCAAAAGGAACATTTAGTCAATAAAAACTGCATATATACTCTTAAATTTTGGAATAATTTGACACAGCACAGTAAAATTTCTATAAATTAATAATAGTTATTTTATCGAGTTTTCTATAAATTTTCAAAGAAGTGTTAATTGATTTAATAAATTCATGATTTTTAATTTTTGAATATATTATTTTGCAATGGACCTCTTTTCTTGAAATCACTTTTAAATTTATATTAAAGTACACCTTTCTAATATCACTTGTAAATTAAATATTTATAATTATTTAGATATAATAGAAGAAAATATAGTAATATAACACCCAATGTAAATATATAACAGGAAATAAATATAAAACTAGTAGTAGGTAATCTATGTTACTGATTAATAAATTTATATTCATTTAAACAGAAATAATAAAAGCTAGTGTAAGAATATAATTATGTGTATATATAATATTTTATTTTTATATAAAAGGTCCGTCGTTCTCTTCTCTTCTAGTGGGCATTACTAGTCGGCGTGTTTCCTTTCAACCGATGGCAAAGGGAAAAGGTCCCCCGGTTCTGGTCCCTGGTCCCTTCCACTTTTCAACGATATTTATATAAAAATATGTACACACTTCTATTAATTAGTAGTGTATAATTTATAGACACAAATTAAATATGTATAATAATACGTATTACTAAATTATAATCTTTAAAACACATATATATAATTCAATTACGATGGGCTTAATTCACAGCAGATTATTCACGGGTTAGTCAACTGTAATTAAATACACTCGGGTGAGAGTACCCCATCCACTCATATATCTTTTTTTGAAACAAAAAAGAAAAACTCAGTCCACTATTTATTAAAAAAATCATAAGTACATGTATATATAAAGTAACTTATATATTTTATATTATATAATTAGTTATTATATTATACAACATAATAATGAATTTAATAAAATTATAATTATAAAAAAAATTAATAATAATCAGGATAATTTAACTATTTTATGATTTTTAAAAAAATCAATAAACTTAGTGATAATGATCAGTATTTTTTTTTTGTTTGAAAAGAGAACAACCATAATGGCGGCACATTGAAAAGTTATATTAATTTTGGGATATCTGTGGGACAGTTATAGAAGAAATGGATCCACACTATGCAACTAGGCATACAAATTTCTGAAAGCTTCACAGCAAATGGTTACAGAAATTTGGAAACATGAAATTTTTATTTCAAATGACAGAAACGATTTTTTTTGAGTGACATGCTTGACTTTTGATTGGAAGCAGTTCATCGTCACTTTCTCTTGTGTATCCGTCAAGTAGTATACGCTCGGTATTATTAACTACAAACAAAATCTCACATCAAATAAAATAAAAAATGAACATAAGTTTATATACACATAAGATAATATTATTAATAAGAAATCTAGTGACCCGTAAGATAATATCACTTCCGTGAAGTTTTGTGATCAAACAATCATAGGTAAATAAATAAAAGTGTTGAAACTTTTTGTAACATTTATCACATATTTTCAGGTGTGCTAATATATATGTTATCGAGTCAGCAAATACTGTGAATTAAAAATAAATAAAATCATGCCATCAAATTAAAAAACCTTATTTAATTATAAATAAAATAACAATTAAGCATGTATGGTTTTAGTTATGGGCAATTCAGGTCCTCTCAAACCTTCACGGGCACAAGTATACGCTAACAACAGTTAATGGTGACAAACTCTTTGTCAACTTTCATTGGTCATTTCCTCAAAATGTAGGAAAGTTGATTCCTTCCCGTAACAAAGAAAGCGGATGCTTTCCTCGGCCTTTCCTCTAAAAGGAAAAATATATTTTGCAATTAGTATTTACTTATCATTACATTCAAGCATATACAAATCTATTAAATGTTATGTATATTTTAATTTTAATTCAATTTTACAAAATTAATTTATAAACTGAAGTTGAAGCTTGAGACTAAATATTAATATGATCTAATAAATATATGGATTAAATATTAAAACTAAACATTAGTAAATGATTTTATATAGCGGTTAGAATAATAGACCCAACAAATAATAAGTTTTATTGCAATGTATGACGGTTCGGTTAATCTGGGACTGAATAATTTATACAGGAAAAAAACATCAATGAGACCAGCTAGTATCCGAGCAGCTATACCAAACAAGCCCAACGCTCACCCTTAAACAACGATTAGACTTGGTTAACACCAATTGGGCCATGAGGTCTTCAGTAAAGTTCATCGTCAAATCTATAAATACAAGTTTGAGATAAAGAAGTAGGGGATTGCATTTATTACCTATTAACTACTGAACTCGTTGAATCTTTACTGACTTTGACATAAGAGTATCTTCTACATGTAACCTCGGTATGAAGTCAAATTTCAGTCCGGACTTCGGTAAAGATGAACATCGGTACACTTAGAACTTAATAAACACATAACCACAACCCACAACTCTAATGTTAAGAAATAGATTTTAAGTTATCTAACTTTGTAAAATAAAATTTACACCAATTTATATAATGATAATGGACTTTTTTGTAATTGATGTGTCATTCTCAACTCAAAAAAATAATATGTTTCGGTTAAATTGGTCTCAGAGTCGATCGTCCTTCTTTGCTCTACTCTTTTTTGATTTTCAATCCTCTCCGATAA